AGTAGCAGTAGTAGAAGTAGTAGTAACAGTAGTACTAGTAGTCGACGTCGTCGTAGTAGTAGTAGTAGTAGCAGTAGCAGTAGTAGTAGTAGTAGTAGTAGTAGTAGTAGTAGCAGTAGTAGTCGTCGTCGTCGTCGTCGTAGTGTTAGTTAGTGCATTTGATTCCATTGCATTGCGTTCGCTGCGCCGAGCCAATGCCTTGCGATGAGGACAGTAGTAGTAGTAGTAGTAGTAGTAGTAGTAGTAGTACTAGCTGTAGTAGTAGTCGTCGTCGTCGTCGTGGTGGTGGTGGTAGTAGTAGTAGTGGTCGTAACAGTAGTAGTCGTCGTCGTCGTCGTCGTAGTATGGCAGTGGTTGAGTAATGGCAGTGGTTGTCGTCGTAGTAGTAGTCGTCGTCGTTGTGGTTGCAAAAGTAGCAGTATTAGTTTTAGTTCTGCCAGTTCTGTCACCCACCTGGTAGCACCAGTAGTGGTCGTCGTCGTAGTGGTAGTGGTACAGTAAAGGTAATGGTAGTGGCAGCGGCAGTACTATAAGGGATTGCACTGATCTCGACCTCACTAATCACGCCTCTTCATGCGCGAAGAAGCCACCATTCGCATTGAGCTTGGCAGTGAACTGCTCCTCGAAGCTGTGGTTTTGCGGTCCATCGGACCCTACAACCCCCCAAGCTCTAAATCAATGGCTGTTTTGGTCCTCTGGCCGCTGACACTTGTCATCTTGCTCAACTAAAACTTGTTGTGTCAGTTGCGGCGCAGTCCTGTTCTTCGACTGTGCAAGCTATCTTGCAGGGAAGATGTATTACCCGGGCCCGGGCTTGAACTAGAGGTGTGTTCCATCACGGTGCATGGCTGCGGAAGCTACGGTAGAGCGACATTCTGCAAAAAAACAAAGATACTCAAGGAGTCATGTGAATGCCTCTTTGCCCTTACGGCTTCGCGTTCGATTCTCGGTACGCCTGTCGACGCCTGTGGTCGTGTTGTGCGCGTGCGCACGGCTCTGGAGTTCTGAATTCGCCAGCCGCTTCGGACGTGGGACAGAGCTCCTAACCCTAACTAGGCACGAAAAGCACCAACCTGTTGAACAATTCCAAGCAGACTATCTCTGTTGGACGAGTGCTTCGGGGCTACACCACCACAGCGGCAATATGCAAGAATGGCGAAGCAGGCGTGACAGCTCCCTTTGCTGAGGCTCCGAACCCTCAAGCCCAGACCTCCCGAGATTCCCTCACAGGCCTCCTGCGCAACATACTCTGCACGAGCCTCCTGCAAGGGGGTTAGATTTAGATCTGCTTCGGGTATAGTGTTTCGTTGCACATTACAACACCTTCCGCCGACCCTTGTCCTTTAAAGGTGAACTCTTCTACAAGGTGAACCCGAAGTTCTTACTCTCTTCAAGCTTTGAGCGTACCCGGACCATGTGCCGAAAGATGGGGGGCAATCCTGCTAGATTGTGTAGAGAATGGCTAAAACGGTTTCAGCCATTCCAGATTACCGTTTGCACCGAAGGTCCGAGCTTCTAAAGGCAAGGACGCGCACTCTTCACTTCACTTGTCCTCAGAGTTCGGACTGTTACGAATTAGGCATGCATGCAAACTCTACTCAGCCTGCCCATCAAACCGTCCTCTTACCTAAACCTCGATAAGGCACTTCAAAACCCCACGCGAACCGAACTTGATGCAGGAAACCAACGAAGTACCGCCTCACATTGATTTACATCGACTCGGACGAGAAAATTCTCAACGCTCGCCACATCTGCGTGGCTGCTGAATGTCGGCACCGTATACTCGTATTCTCGATGGTAACTTGCACTTTACACTCAAGCTCCGCACTGCATCGCAGAAACCCGTGATGAGTTTTCGAAGCAAGGCAGGACCTTCATGATCAGCGTCACCCAGGAGAGCTATTACAAGACTACGAGACAAAAGTCAAGCCAACGGTGCGAGCCCAGAGGTCCAACATACATCAATAGACACATAAGACACGAGATGAAGCCACAGCAGGCCTCCAGCTCGGCGACCTTCTCGGTAAGCTCGTCATTTTCAAGCCGGAGAGAGACGGCCTGCTTCAATTGATCCCCAAGACCGAAGAGGGAGTCATGCTGCGAATGACTGCGGTCCCGGTCCATATTGCAGCGTCTTATGGTTGTTTGTCTTGCCATCAGATTTTGCAGTGCTCTCTTTGAGGCAAAGCTCCTGGAACCGGCCCTGAAGGCAACGGAACTAAAGTTTGACGTGGCTGAAACCTTGAAGACGAAAGCCGTCTACTGCTCGCGGAAACCTCTGCCGGCCTGTGAGGCTGCTTCCAAGCGAGATGAAGACAGATCTGTGCAAATCGTCCGTTGCTATCCTTCCTGATGTGCTACACCAATCTCTATTCAAGAATCGGCCTAAAAAGTTGAAACCCGCTCCCCTTCTCGACACTTAAGCACAAAGCCCTGCTTTGTTAAAGCCTCCCGCCGAAGATTCTCATAGGCCGGTGCGTCCTGCAACGTGGATCTATGGGTTGAAGCTTCAGGAATTTGAAGACCACGGCAGCTTAAGAAAGCCTAAAATCCTAAGAACCCTAAACGCTTAACCCTCTTTTAACCTTGCAGTCGCTCCAGCTAAATCGAGCCAAGCTCTGGGGGAACCCAAGCCGCAAGTGCCCGGACACGGCCACAACCCAAGCTCCAATTGTCAAGCTGAAGATCCGGCTTAAGGCCTAAGCTGCAGGGGCATTCAACAAACTACTGTACTTGCAACCCGCTTGAATTTCCATATAGTTTTGCACAAAACCTGTATAGTACCATCTACGAGTAAGTTAAAGACGCGAGAAAACGAAAGTGGAAAGCAGAAAAGATGTCATCTTGCTGATGTGTGACTAGGTAGAATTCACGTGGCCCCTAGACCGACCCCGTTTTCTGGCTGCTTAAGCGGCTAAGCCGTTGTATTCCTTGTCCAGTCGCTCGCCCTGGACGAGCGCCTGCTCCACCTGCCGGGCTCGGCTGACCCAAATGAAGCCCTGCAGCCTAAACAAATAACATGGCTCCGAGACCCGGAAAGGAACGGGGAGAAGACTAGAATGTCAATACTACGGTTAGCACCAGTCAAATCATAATCATGGTCAGAGCGATGACCCGGAGTCTTCTGATGCTTCGTACTGTAACCAGTGCGGCTCGTGTGTCGGGCTTGCAGTTGAGGCCCACCGGAGGTCAGTCAAGAAGCTTGCAATGTCCTCCCACGGAATTCAACCCGGCACCTCTGCAAACTGCGGGCTTGTAAGTTTGGACTTCAAGGGTCTTGTTCTCGGTCTGTGTGCTGACATTCACGCTGGGCTTCAGCATCCTTCGGCCATGCAAGATGCTAGCATTTTGATAGGCTCATGCGGCGTGCATGTGCTGGAGTGGACGACGCATTCAAAATCCGAGAGCTCCCCGTTTGAGCGTGCCTTGAGTTTCTAGAAGCCAGGCAGAACCAAAACCCTGTCACTGTCGCCCTGAAGCTAGTCAAACGGCCTGAAGAAGGGTTGCGAGGAATACTGCCCCGTGCATGCACTTTCAGTAAGATTGTGGCACCATCCAGATGACATTGGAGGTTCTGCATTGCAAGAGAACTTCGATCAAGGCTTGGCTTCCTGTACCGCCGACTGATACTTTCGGGCAGTCCCTTCACACATCTGGACTCCAAAGCTTCACCTAAAACAAGAAGAGCAAATTTCTGCTCCCAGACTCCCGATCCTGAAACCTTACCCCTCTTTTCTGCTTTCTTGGCTCCGAAGCCTAAACTCTGGGGTTTCGCGATGGGCCTCGGTAACGAGGTCCTGAACACTCATCCTGGGAAAAGGCTTTCCGGTCTTAGGCTCCAGGTTAAATACCGGTCAGCTAGAGAAAGCTGCATGTTCCCGGGAGCATGAATTGGGCTTGTCTGACATCTGCACCTGCATGTGTTCCTGAGAGAAGCCACCGCCAAGATGACGGCTGACCGTAGCGTCGCGGGACACAAACCGTACAGGGTTGCGGCATGATGTGGCGCTGCAAACAAG